CTGCCTTCCCTGCCTCATCCTCCTCCTCCTGCCCAATCTCTGTGCTCTGCGTTTCTCCCCATCCTTCATCCCCTTTTTCCTCCACTTCCTTTTCCTCCATCTCCTCTTCTTCCTTCTTTATGCTTTCCTTTCCCATCCCATTTCTCTCCTCCAGTTCATCTCTCGCTCCTTTCCCTCCCTCCTCCTCATCTGCCTTCTCCAGCTCTTGCTCCTCTTCCAACATTTTTTCCTTCTTTATTTTCTTCCTCCCCATCTTCTCCTCCTCCTCCGTTTTCATCTTCTTGCGCTTCTCTGCTTTCCCCTTCTGCTTTTGCCTCCCATCACCCCGACCCCAGGTGCTGCTCCTCCCTCGCTTGGCTCTGCCCCGTCCCACTACTCGATTCCTCTCCTCACCAGCACCCTCCTCCTCCTCCATGTCCTCCATCACATCCCCAAGGTTTTCCTCAAATTCGTCCTTCTTCCTCCTTCCTTTTCCCAGCAATCCATTTTCCTGCTGCTTCCTTTGTTCTTGCTTCTTCTCTCTTTTCTTTTTCGAGTCTTGAGCATTCCCTTGCTGCTGTGGGACAGGAGGGTCCAGCTCCTCCTCCTCACCCTCCTTCATAGTGGTGACACCCAAAGCCATCTCTAAAGCCCCAGGTTCTCCAGAGAGGGTTGCAGCCCCACCAGCAACACCATCACTTGGCTTCAAAACCTGTGGGAAGCAGCGAGAAGCAGAGAAGTGTTGAAGTTGGGAAAGGAGAGAGATTATCCCAAAGCCCAGGAGTACAAAGGAGGTGGTAAGGGACACGTCCCATGCAGGATTGGGTCCAGGTGACAGTCCCCTGGGTTTCCTACCCCAACTCCAGCCTTGGTCGCTGAGAGCTGCTGTCCTGCTGTGGGTCCCGCTCTCCGAGGTTTGCGCTGTGACCTACAGCAAAAGCACAGCCACTTCTCACCGCGTTGGTGACCATCAGCCTCCACCTCTTACATGCAAAATCAGGGGATTTCTCAAAAAAAAAAATACATCCTTGTTTCCCTTTAAGCATGGCAACACCACAGGTGCTGCAGCAGATGGAGATATCCCAAAGAAGCACTGTCTGATCCCTGTGGGAAATGGCCCCAGGTTGCAGTTTATGGGATGAGGAAGCTCAAGTGAGCAGGATCAGAGAGGTCTCTAGACCAAGTAGGGGGAGGCCTCAAGGAAATGTCCCCAGAGACACCTCTTCCTAGAGAAGGGGACAGGTTTGCAAGGTTTGGCAGCACCAACAGAAAGCAGGACAGAGGTGGCAACAGGCTGAGCCTTGTGGACACGCTGGAGGAGGAGATCTTGTGATGGGACACATCTCCTGACTCTATGGGAACAGGCTCTCTCACTCCCTTCCCAAGAAGGCAGCCTGAGCATTGGTACAACAGGGAAGGACACAACTTGAACAACACAACAAGCTGCAGGACAAGGAGTGTCCGGATCCATGAGCTCCACCATCACCAGTATGGGTGGGGAATGCAGGAACATTTCCCTGGTCAGCAGAGAGGTCAGGTGAATTTTGGGGATTTCAGTGGGACTTGTAAACATTATAAAGCATCAACCTGCCCCTATAAAATACTTTCTCCTAAGGCTTCTCCAAGCCAGGCAAGGAGTTGAGAACCTCATCTTTAAGTCACTCATGTTCCAAAAAAGCAAAGCAAGAGATGAATGAGGAAATTAAGCAACCTTATCTAGTGGAAGGTGTCCCTGCCCATGGCAGGGGGGTTGAAACTAGATGATCTTTAAGGTTCCTTCCAACCCAAACCATTCTATGATTAGCAAGCACTGCCTAAGCCAAGCCTACATCTTGTAGACTGAGCCTACATCTTCACAAGATTGAAGTCCTGGTGTCCCCTTGCCCACAGAGAAGCTTGGGGTTGTCACTGCTGGGTCATTGTCACCTCCCAGCTGAGATGCCTGCCAGGCTACAGAGCATCATATCCCCAGCTTGTGACCTGCACCACTGCAAAATAACCAGAAGCCTCCAAAACACCTACATTTTCTCCAGGTCAGTAGGTAAAAAAGCAATCAGAGCCACACTTCTCCAGCCCATGCTAGGGAAGCTTGGAGCTGAGCTCAGGCCCTTGCACCAGTCCATGGGTCAAACCCATCGCCTGCCTTTTTCCCTCCCCACTCCTGGCACCCCTCGGCAGGGCCAGTTTGGAAGCACAACCAGCTGCCCTGATGCCACCCAGGTAGGAGCTGGGAAGCCAGGTTTCTCCATCCAAGGAGGGTGGTGATGTCTCTCCTACACATCCAGGAAAGCACAAAGAAAGCAGAGCCACGATTTCTGCTTTTGGCCAAAACATCCTGCAGTCGTAGTTTCCGCAAGGGAAAGGAAGATTTTTGGCCCATTTCTAAAAGTTCATTTAGACATTTTAGTCCATTTGGGGTGGAAACAGCAAGATACCCCCTCCCCCCCAAAAAAAAAGACCAAACCAGGGGCCAGATGCTTTTTTGGTACAGCTGGAGCACATATTACACAATCTCCACTAAACTCATTAGAGTAAACAGCTCGGCAAAACACGCTCAGCCCCTCCAATCTCATTAGCAGCTGAGCACCAGCAGATTCATGACTCAGAAGGCAAAGTCCTGCCGCCTTTTGGGATCGGCTCCTTCCCCAGAAGGTCTTATTAGAGGCCTCTCGACAGACATGAAAGCCCCTGCCTCTAAGACGCAGAGAGGATTAGCCTGCTAAGGGACAGCTTTATGAATCCGGGTTCCTATCTCTGCCCAGATCTAGCATGGGGCAAGAGGAAGAAACACCCTTTTCCCAGGCTTTGCGAGGCTGGTTGTCCCCAGTAGCGTTTCCCCACCGCCTACCTCTGTGTTTATGTAGGTATGTGCATCTGAGCGATCGCGCCCTGCTGACTCGAGCATCTTCGAGAGGTTGGACAGGGCCAAGAGCCTCCCTCTCCACCCTCAAATCCCAGGATGGGGCCGCAAATTCCACTTGGGATGTTTTCGTCAAGCTCCAAGGTCACAGAAGGCACCAGGACGTGGCCAAGCTGCCAATGAAGGCAGCAGCAGCAGGGTGGTCTCAGTGATACAGGAGGAAAAAACAGGGCTGTGCAACCTCATGGCAAGAAGAGAATGGGCAAACTTCCAGTTGTCCAGGAAAAAAGCATTCAGAAAGTAGCCCAACTTACCTTGAAGAGTCTTTCAGCCCCACTGATGGTCCTTGGTGGAGGGTTGATTTGACCTTCTCCTGAAAGATATTAACAGTGTTGATCTGGGAAAGGTTACCTGGCATGAGTACCCCAATAGCAGCATCACCCCCAAGCCATTACCCATCCCCTGTGATGGCAGCCAGCAAGGACACAGCACCCACATCCCACTGACATCACCTTGCCCTTCCTCAGCCACCTTGGCTAGAAACCAGGAGCCTAAAACAGCAGGCTTTTCATAGAATCACAGAACACTTTGTGTTGGAAGGGACCTTAAAGACCATTTAGTTCCAACCCTCTCGCCATGGGCAGGGACACTTTCCTCTACACCAGGTTGCTCAAAACCCCATCCAATCTGGCCTTGAACAGTTCCAGGGATGGGGCATCCGCAACTCCTCTGGGCAAACTGGTCCGGTACCTCACCACCCTCAGAGGGAAGAATTTCTTCCTTAGATTCCATTGAAACATGCCATCTTTTGGTTTAAAGCCATTGCCCCATGTCCTATCACTACACATCCTTGTCCAAAGTCCTTCTCCTGCTTTCTTGTAGGCCCTTTAGGTACTGAAAGGCTGCTAGTCCAGATGAAGAACTCTAGCTCTCTCAGCCTGTCTTCAGAGGAGAAATGCTTCAGCCCTCTCAATCTTCGTGGCCTCCTCTGGATGCACTCCAGCAGCTCCATGTCCTTCTTAAGTTGTGGGCCCCAGAGCTGAAGGCAGCACTGCAGGGGTGTCTCACAGAGAAGAGCAGAGGGGCAGAATCCCCTCCCTGACCTGCTGCCCACGCTGCTCTGGATGCAGCCCAGGACACGGTTGGCTTTCTGGGCTGCCAGTGCACGGTGCTGGCTCATGGTGAGCTTCTCATCAACTAACACCCCCAACCACAAGGAGAGCTTTGAGGTTTCATGAGGTTCAGAAATCCCTGTCTTCCTTCCAACAACACTGAAAAGGTATTTTATAGAGGAAATACATGAAAACTGTCACCCTTCCTTAACCATCGTGTTCATTAGATGTGTTGGTGTTATCAGGGACACCAGTCCAGAACAGCAGACAGGATGGGAGGGCTCCAAAACAAAGATGCATCAAATGACAGATTGTGTGCATCCACGCCAGCTTGGTCCTTAGAAGATTAAATGACCCTTGTAGCAGATGGCAAGGGGGAAAGGGAGGTGGGGGGCAAAGCCACAGGGTGGGAAGTACAACAAGGGTGAACAGAGGACAAGGAGAAAGAAAAAGCAAAGCATAGGGAAAACAGGGACAGGACCTAAAAGAAAGTGAGCTCAGAGGGGACTCAAACAGAGCCCTAAGAGCTGACCCATGGTGGCCACCGGAAATATCATCACACTTTGGCACGCTCATTTTGAAAGCTGAAGCCAGGTTCTTCTGCTCTTGGCCAAGCAAGGCTACGTCTAACCTCGCAGTGCCCTGAAACCCATCCCAGCTTCACCCAATGCTTGCCAAGCATCAAGGCTCTCGTTATAAATTCCGGCTTCCCCAAGTTTCTCTTCCGAAGGCTTTCAAGAGAGGCCAAAACCACACAGAGATTTTTCTTGAAAGCTTCTGCTGAGAAGCTGCTGGGTTAACTCATTAAGGGGAAAAAAAAACCACACAACACACAACGGAGTTAATTATAGGTTGGTTATGGCAATGTACGCTTTCGCTCCCTGGGAATACGCCTGCCCTCGAATTCACAATCCTTCAGTTGCTGTCAGAAATCAGGGTGGTAAATTCAAGAGGAGACAGCCACGATCTTCGGAAAAATCCTGCATGCAAATGCCTGGTG